GTAGCCAATGGAATACTGGCAGTTTAACTAAACTTTTAAATATCTTTTGTAGCATTAGAGTGTAACCATTAATTTTGAGAAGCAAAAGCAAAACCAATTTAAACAATTTATCTTCTCTAAAATCAACACCAAGCAGACCACCCCTATGCTATAAAGTTTTGCTGCTAATTCTCTACACATGAATGCATGAAGCAGCTTTTAATCTCATTGAAGAGACATTGGTCTAAAATCTTACTTTCTATATACCTGGTTTCTGAACGACTCCAACACTGAGCTAGTTCCACGCCACCTTTCGTTATCAAAGTTGTACATTTTTAATTACACCCAATAATTTAAGCCAATAGTCTATAACCAAGACATGTAGAACATTTTTATACTTTTAAAACCAATTAGAAACAACAATTAAGTGGCTATATATCTTATCTTCAGATCAAACAAAATTTGGTGCTATTTCTAGCTGTAATTTTAAGAGAAAGGCACCTTGTCACAGAGATTTTTCTAGGACAAAATGACTCTTAGCTTCTTTATAAAACCCAAAATGCTGCTGGTCTCTTTTAAAAGCAGCTTATGTCAACCTCAATTCCTGAAAAGACCTTCTTTAGCTCCCAAAGGTTGGATCAAGCAGTTTTAACGATCTTTCTTTTTGAACATGTAACAAACACAGAACATTTAGACAACGAAACAAAGAGCAAACACAAACACGTGGACATTGGCGCGCCAAGGACAAACAAAGAACTTTTAGGAGCTACAGAGAAGTTCAGGACGTCTCCCGAATTCTCTGTTTCTAGATGAACTCTGAAATAGCCTTTTCATTCTTTTTGTTGACACAGCTCAGAGAGAGGACACCAGTATTTTTAAAACTCTTTCTCTCTCTCTCATATTTAAAATGTAACTTTTCATCTCGTTCATTGGAGATTTAGCGGGTAGTTATTTTAACACTTCAATACCCTGCTTTCTAATTCCTTTTAACCCTGCTCTTTCCACCTGAAGCGGCCGCAGGCAATGCCTGTTTAGAATTCTCCTGACCTATGTTTCGCTGTTACCTCCTAGGCAAAATCCTCATTCACCTAGACTGACTCTCCCGAAACATTTTTCTTGTAAACACAGCCTCTAATTGACCGTCACTAACGCAAGAACTCGATCTCGTGGCGGCAGCCGTCTATTCGGCTGGCATCTATCCTCCCCATCCGTCTCTACATCTGAGTCCTCTGACTCGGAAGTTAGCCCCTCCGACTCAGAGCTATCACGCCGTAAAAACCCCCGGCTCCTTTACCAGATACAGAGGTTTGTTTCTGAGGCTTACTTTCCTTCCGTCTCTCCCGAGAGTGTTCTTCCTCTCCTCTCTCACCCCCGTGGGTTGGTCCTCGGGGAGGCCTGATTTCTTAAATATGTCCCTTTTCTCTTTTCTTTTCTGACCTTTTAAGCGCTTCCATTTCTCTGTCTCTGTTTCTGACATGTGGGCCCATAATTCGTCTATCACTCCCCAGCCCGCCGCCATAACCGAGCAGCTTTTCTCATCCTGCAAAACCAGAAGGAAGAGTACCAGCACTGTCTGGGGAGGGAGACGAAAAAAATCAAGACCAGACATTATCTCTCAGAGAACATTACCCCGTCATACGGTTCTGGATTCACTCCACGCGTGAGAAAACGAGCGGAGGGTCTTCTTTAAGCAGCGCCGGCGATCGATGGATTTTCCCGGGTTTCACGGCACCAAATGTGCGGGGCGCACGCGTGTAGTCCTCTCGCCGGCGAAAAACATACACACACGTGCGCACACACACACATCACACACACGCCAGAATCCTTCCGTATGAACACGTTTATTTCCCTAAACCAAAACGGTGGAAGAAGACGAGAAGGCGTGGGAAAGCACTGCCTATATACCCCAGAGCGGGGTATTCACCCCCTGATTGGCTGTATACTCGTAGCGCGCCAAACGTCGTGGGATGGGCTTAGCCTTGGCGGGCTTTACATGGCACATGCGCACTTTATTTGTTTACTAGGAAGAATTATGGCTGACAGCGCCACCTAGCGATGGCGGACTTTGCCAGCTCTGCCGCGGCTCCTAACAAGAAGTATTATATTGGGTTTGCTGTTTGAGACTCTTTCTGTTCTGTATTTTAGACAAGCTTGGCGAACTTCTGAACCTTCTGCCTCCAGTCTCTTTCAGGGGTCAAACCCAGGTTTTCTGCAAGCACCCTACCAACTGCAGCAAGTCCTCAGACACCCCCACCCCCAGTGTTAAACTCTGCTGGGAGGGGTCGTGTCATCACCTAGGGATGCCATTCACATTAGACCTTTGGACCATGTAGCCAGCGCGGTGTGAGCTCCAAGCGCTTTTCCTTTCTCTTCCACAGGCCAAAGATCTCATCATCACACCAGCCACCGTCTTAAAAGAGAAGCCCGACCCCAGCTCACTGGTCTTTGGAGCTACGTTTACTGACCACATGCTGACGGTGGAGTGGTCCTCCGCATCTGGATGGGAGAAACCTCACATTAGGCCTTTTGAAAACTTACCCATGCATCCCGCTGCCTCCGTTTTGCACTACGGCGTAGAGGTAAGTGCTTGTGAGCTGCTGTGGGCTGTGATTCTCCACCTTGCCAGCTTCTTTAGGATGGGGGACAGGCCCTGCTGTCTTAAATGGAGGTTGTCATAAATGTCTTCAAACTTCTCCTGTAGCCAAATGGATTGAGAATAAATCTCAGAGCTAGTTTTGCAGGTTGACTTGGTTTATCTGTGATGTTAGTAAAAATGTGGGGTGTGCGTGCGTGCGTGGTGCGTGCGTGCGTGCGCGTGTGTGAAGCGAGGTGTGGCCATGCCTTGGTAACCTAAGACAGGATGGGCAGAAAGTTCAAGGCTAACCTAGACTACATCATTCTTTCTGGCCAGCCTAGGCCACAGAACCTCAAAGAACCCCAAAGCAATGCGTATTGCTAATTTATTAGGTGCCCTCTTTTTCTCAGATCTTTGCGTGATTGTGATGGGTCACAGAATGAGACAGACACCAGTGCTAACTGCTTGCTCATAGCCAGCCTTTGGGATGGCATCGAGCACATTCCTTTACCCTGGAGTGTTTGGAGAATCCATCTCTTGGTCCTCTGCAGATACATAGTTAGATCTGGAGAATATTGTCCCATCACCTTTACCCTACATTTTATTTTATTCTTTTCTGTTTTTTTTCCCCCCACATGGGATGACTTTCCCCAGAAAGCCCAGAGATAAATTCTGATCTACCAAGGGACTGAAAATGACCATAGGAAACATTGATAGCGATGATCAGATACTCATTTTTGAATATTGGATCCAAGACTGTGCTTTCGAGAGACCTTGTGCTTTACAGAGATCATTTTCATTTCATTATTTGTGTTTAGAGTTCAGATTTCCCGCCAGAACACCCTGGAACCCACTCATTTAGTGATCTGAAGTGAGAAGCCTGTGAGTCCTCATTCAGGGCTGGAGAGTTGGCTCCGGGGTTAAGAGCACCTGCGGCAGTTGCAGAAGAATGCAGCTCAGCTATCAGGAACCACATGGCGGCTCACGACCCTAGCTCCAAGGAGATCGGACACCCTCTTCCTGTCTCTGGACAATCACTTGCACATGAACAGACATGCGCACACACGCATACACATAAACTAAGTCTTTAAGAAATAAAAGAGCAGATGTTTGAAATCAAGTCATAGAGACAGACAGGGGGCAGGGCTCAAGTGTATCTCAGTTGCTCCCTGGAGGTTTACGGAACTTGGGGAATACAATCATTTATGATTTAACACTTTTGTGTATGATAGGTAAGGATAGTAACTTAAATCTTTTTTATATATTTATTTATTGTATGTGTGTCTGTGTGGGTGGATGCATGCCATATATATATGAACATTAGAGGGGAACTTGGGGCTGTCCTTTTTCTAAGTGGGTCTCTGGGTTTGAACTCAAGTCGTCAGACTTAGCAGCAAGCACCTTTACCTGATGAGCCATCTTGCCCACCCTGTAGAAGATCTGTGTTCTTGAAAGTATAAAACCAGGTAGTTCATTGGAATCTGTAGATCAGCGGTTCTCCACCTTCCTAATGCTGAGACCCTCTAATATAATTCCTCATGCTGTGGTGACCCCAACCATAAAATTATTTTCTCACTACTTCATAACTGTAATTTTGCTACTGTTATGAATTGTGATGTAAATGATATCTGATATGTGACCCCTGTAAAAGGGTCATTCCAACCTCGAAGACGTTGAGACACAAAGGTTGTGAGAGCCACTGCTGTAGAGCCTGGTGCTGAGGGCTGCGATGAGCTCTTCTGCACATAGACCAGGCCATGCGCTGTCCTGAATGAGTCACAGGTATTCATTCAGCAAGCACAAAGCAAGGGAGTGAGTGGTGAGTTGAGGCTACACAGACTCAGCAGAGAAATAGCAAAGCATCCTCGGATTCACCGGGGGAGACAGCCTGGCCCGTCCCATTGAGAGAGCAAGCTAAAGTCATGTCGTCAAATGGGTGCTCACAACACCCAGTAGGAAGGGACTTGGGGGTGTCTATGGTAAGATTGGACCAGATCAAATCTGATCTGGGGAGATCAGCAGGGCTGGGCCCGGTTAGCACTTGCATGGGAGCAAACTTGGTCTTGGGGAGCAAACAGACCTGCTAGAAGCAGACTGATCTGCCCTTGAAACCAGCTTCTGGCTTCAGATTTCCACCACAGGCATTTTCAAACATGGGATAAACAGCGGTAATGTCTGCAGAAATGTTTTGCCTCCCAGAGATGATTCAAGGACACAGTGTTTTTGCTGATTTTTCCCTGTGTCACAGGGTGGGGATGCCAGGCTGCTCTAGGTTTGGAGGACACTTCAGGTAAACAGTTGGTTCTGAAGTGGGAGGGGCCAGCCCTCCCTCTAGAGTCTCTCTTTACCAATACAGTGTGTGTTGCATGACCCCTGACCCAGTGGTAGCCCCTGTTCTAGAAGACCACCAAACAATTCCTTAGTACCTTTGTTTTCTAAAGATAGGCTGGCTTCCAGTCCATGGTATAGCTGAAGCTGGCCTTGAACTCCTGATACAGCTGCTTTCACCTCCTAGGTACTAGGGTTACAGGTATGCATTAATATACCAGTCTGAACTTAGTTTCATTCCCAGATGACTGCTAGTTGCATGGCCTTCTGGGTTATACTCACACCAGTCTCTTTGCATCCAATGGCCAGTGAACGGACCATTCCCCCTTCAGAGAAGGCTGTGGTAACTTCAGAGCCTCTAAGTTCCGTGATTCTCAGACTTAGCATTCAGAATTACCATGGATTTCTGATTTCCATTCATTTTTGAAGCTATGTAACCCAGCTGCATAGATACCACAGTCTGAGAAACGCTGGTCTTTATAGGAGGTGAATTAGGAAGAATTTAAAAATTTTGGGCTTTGGAGTACTTCAACTGAAGTTTCAGTTTGACTTTTTTCATATTATAATTATTGGTGGCAGGCTGGCTTCAAAATCATAGCAATCCTCCTGGCTCAGCCTTCCAAATGCTGGGATCACAGTCTTTAAGAAAACGTCAGCTCTGGGGATGTAGCTCAGCGTTGAGTGCTTGCCTTGTATGAATAAAGCTCTGTGTTTCACCGTTAGCCTGCAAACACACGCAAAGCCAAAAATAGCCCTCAAATTACAGTCGTTCTGCCGCAAAACCACAACATTCTCTATACTACTAGTGATCTAATAAAACAAACACAGCACTTCTTCATAAGGCTTGATTAGCTAGACCGAGTTACCAGAAATATCTCCAGTAAGATCCAGATTGTATCTGACACTGCTTGGGTGACCAAGAACCTGAGACTAGGCAGCCCAGGGACCCAAGGTAAAATCAAATACTACTGTTCTTTAAAAAAAAAAAAAAGTAGCAATAAAATGACTCCTAATGGTATTCTGCTGTACTCGTAGACAGGCCAGAGCCTTGCACAGAGAAGCTTCCTCCTGCAGCAGATGGGAACAGATGCAGAGAGACCTACAGCTACACACAGTGCAGAAAGTGAGAGAGCTTAGAACACTAGGCCTTAAATAGAATATCTCCATCTAATTCCCCCCCACCCTATCCCCCCAGGGCTCAGGGACCCACCCCCCACCTCTCCTGCTGAAAAGGAGGCTGAAAGAGTCTTAAGAGCCAGAGGAGATGGAGGACACTGAAAGAACAAACCCTCTAAATCAACTGAGCAAAGCTCCTACAAACCCCAGACCCTGAGGGGGCATGCACAGGGCCTGCACAGGTCTGCCCCAGGTCCTCTGCATCTATCGGCTGGCTTCAAGTTTAGTGTTTTTTTTAATGGGATTCCTGAGTGTGCAAGCCAGTGGGTCTGATTCATTTGCCTTCTTTTGGGCTCTTTCCCATTTATTTCACCCAAATCCCATGTGTTAGTTTTTATTCTATCTTATATTTGATTATGTTATTGCTTAGATGCCTGTTTATTTTCTAATGAGAGACAGAGAGGGAGGTGAGGTCAGAGGGAACTGGGAGGAGTAGAGGGAGGGAAAACTGTAGTCAGCATAGGTCATGTGAGAAAAAAAATATTCTCTTTAAAGGGGGGGGGAACTGGATCAGGGTTAGAGAAACAGCTCACTTCGTAGCATGCTCATCTGTCACACACGGGGCTGTGCTCTTGTCTGCAAATAGCCATACTTCCTGCGTGAGGTGGCTCCTGACCAGCCCTGATTAGAGAGAGGGTGAGGGGCCCCACTGAGGCAGACAGTTGCTCAGGGATACTTGGGTGGGCACACTGAGAAAGTACATATTTAGAATTTGATCTAGAAAAGAAGGCGTATATCCCTTGGCTCTTTGCCAACTTGCCCAGGGAGACGGTCATAGCTGCAGAGTGTGGTCACTGGGGTCTGAGGGTAATGAGTGCTCCTCTATGGGTCCTGGAGGCAGTAGTTTTCCACTATGTGTCCTTGTCCAGGCTGTCATGACTCTTGTCCTCTTGGGAACTTTCATGCCCATGGGAGCAGGTGTGTGGTGTGTGAAACACGACTCTCGTCCAGAGGGAGTAAGAGGCAGGTTATACTGAGCCAGATAGTGGCCATGGCCTGGGCAGGTGGAATCGGGTTGCCCTGAATGACACAGCCCATCCTGGAAGTGGTCACCAGTCAGTGTGTTTATGGAATGTGCCGGTGGGGACATTGGGGAGCAGGGTACCCAAGTAGAAAGTCCTGCTGTGTGATGACGTCCTTTTAGCTTCTGGTTGGTGATCTATGTTCAGGAGAATGTGAGGTTAGAAACACGGGTGGGTGATTAACAGGCATAGAGATTAAAGATAATTCAGGATGATTTGGGTTCTGGATCCACAACATTCCTGTTGTCCACTGTTACAGAGAGTTCTGTGGTATCTCTAGCCTAGTCGTCCCTTTATCAGAGAACTTCAGCTCAGAAATCTGTCCTTCTCAACCTCCAGAGAGAGAGAGAGAAGAGACCTTGCCTTTTAAGGCACCATCCACCTTGCTCTCAAAGACAGGGTCTCATTGGTTTAAGACTGAGTAGGCTGGCTGTCCAGCAAGCCCTGGGGATCTATCTGTCTGTCCTGGCAGCTGGGATTACAAATAAGAACCACCATGCCTGGCTTTCATTTATGTGGATTCTAGGGTTGAACTCAGGTCCCTATGTTTGTGTGTATCTATGTGATCATGTGTGTGTGTAAATCTATATGATCATGTGTGTGTATCTATGTGATCGTGTGTGTGTGTGTGTGTGTGTGTGTATCTATGCGATCATTTGTGTGTGTGTGTGTGTGTGAAGGCATGAGATCACCACGCCCACACAGAGGAAGGTCAGAGGACAACCCACAGAAGTGGATTCCCTCCTCATGTAGGTTCTGGGGTTTGAACTAAGGCGTCAGGCTTGGAGACAATCACGTTTGTCTGCTGAGGCATCTTGTCAGCCCACCCCACCACCACCGTTTTATTGAATAGCATTTATCCAGCAAATATTCTAATACTTTGTATGACAAAGCAGCCTCTTCACAGCCTCGGTGTGCTGTGTACTTCAGCCTCAGGGGAAAGTGCTTGCCCTGTCGAGGAATTTGTGATCTGAACTAGTCACACTGTTTTTTTTTTTTTTTTTTTTTTTACTTGAAAGGACAGGTATCATTATTCAGATGTGAGCATTAGCAGATGTTCCCTTGAGGAAGAAATTAAATGGCTCTGCCATTTCAAGTAAATGGTGGGGAACATTTATTACCAGTGATTACACTCTTGCTAAAAGGAACCTAGAATTTTGAGGGCTAAGGGCTCAGGTGATATTGTAGATGTGTGTGTGTATGCATAGCCCTTGGTTCAATCCTCTGTACCGGGAACAAGAGAAAGAGGGACGGGAGAGATGGTCCAGGGGTTAAACATACTCCTGTCTGGAGAGGACCCAGATTCATGATCTGTCCTGTAACTTTGTTCCAGAGGATTACACGCCTTCCTTTGGCTACTGCATACACACATACATGTGGGCAAACACTCATATACGTAAGATAAATAGAAAGAGGAAGGGAAAGAAAGAAGTTAACTAGAACTTTCTGTCATTTTGACCTTCTTGAGCTCTTAGCCTTTGGAGGGCCCATCCCAGCTCTGTCAATCACCGGCTTTCCAAACCAGTGAACATTACAGACTGATTGATAGATGGATATAGTCTTAGAATGAGACTGCCTGTAAGGACGTCTCAATGGGCAAGATAAACCTGAGCAAGTCCCTGGACTTCTCTTCATTTTCCTTCTGGTGTGAGATGGGACTTCCAGGGTGTCCTAGTATGAGATCCTGGAGGGCAGCGGGAGGTAGCGGCTGTGTAACGGGAGCACACCCCAGCTGTGGTCACCCTGTTAGGGGAGCACACCCCCAGCTATGGTCACCCTGTTACAAAGAGCACCCCCACCCCAGCTGTCCAGTCCTCTGTGAGGCCAGGCACTGTTGGGAGGACATCTTAGCATGTGTGATTTAAGGCCCCATCAGTTGGTAACATGGTCAGAGTAGTCTTGGTTAGCAGGACCTTGAAGAAGAACTATCTCCAAAAACTTAGGCTAGCAGCTATTCCTCCCTTCCTCCCTCCCTCCCTCCCTTCCTCCCTCCCTTCCTCTGTTCCTCCCTCCCTCCCTCCCTTTCCTCTTTCTATTCTCTCTTCCCCTCTCTTCCTTAGCCTTCTAAGGTTCATATTTAGCTTCTGACCAGGAGTGGTGGAGGTGGTACCAGCATGCTTTAGATTCCCCTTTCCTGGTTGCCCATCAGACTGAGTACTGAAAGGACCTTTTTTTTTTTTTTTTTTACTCCTTTTCTGTTCCCGAATCGCTCCCCCTCCCCACCCCCTCTCTCCATTCCAGTCGAGGTTAAGGGCAACAACTTAACACTACTAAGACTGTCTGAGTCACCTTCTGAGACCTTTCTCTTTTCCTCAGCTGTTTGAAGGCTTGAAGGCTTTTCGGGGAGTTGATAATAAGATCCGATTGTTCCGGCCGGACCTCAACATGAAAAGAATGTGCCGATCCGCTGTGAGGACCACACTCCCGGTATGCACGTCTATTCTCTTCTGTTCCATGGTTATTCTGCTCTTACATCAAAAAAAAAAAAAAAAAAAAAAAAAGCTTGCTGAATAATTGCATCAGGCTTTTAAACAGACCAGATATTGTCGATTAAAGGTCAGAGGACGCCTTGCAAGAGTCAGTTCTCTGTACCATGCGGGTTGATGGTAACCACGTTAACGTGCTGGGCATCTTAAACTGTACATTTTAGTGCCGCTGTACAGAGAAGAAAATTAAAACCCAGCCCGGGGAGGTTAAACCACTTGTCCAAGGTCACTCAGAAGGACAGGAAAGTGGGCTGAGGTTACTTTGATTTCCTAGTCCATGCATTCATGGAATTGATTACTCTTCATCTCTGGTTAGCTGCACCCAAGATCTGACTTGCTGACACATGTTATCTGTGTAGCTGGCCATCCTAGCATCTGACATCCCTGCACTGTGATCATGCTAGTGTACTGTGATCATGCTAGTGCACTGTG